ACACAACAAACCCTTCCAGACTCTTGGTCGACAGCCACTTGAGAAACTTGTAGACCCCCAACACAAAAATTCGCAACGAACAGCCATTTGAGAAACTTCTACAACCTTTGTTTGATTTGCGCAAATCGAACAAATCCAGATATCGCCAGATCCTTCTCTCTTCTGCCTCCGACGGCGAGGCTCACCTCGACAGACTCTGCGCTAGCATTAGCTTTCGCACTATGCTCTCCTACGATGCCTCGTACTCTGATGCCACAGCGGAGGCCCAAGATCCATTGCTCAAGCGGCCAAAGACCGAACGGTCGTACAATTTCTTCTACGACGTGATGCTGCCACCGTTCCATAGCCAGTTGTTGAGCCTCCAGTCCCCGAGCAAGCCCAGAAGAAACCCCCAAACCCTAGATTTGTAACAAAGTCGTACAAAAAGCTGTGGTGCCAGCATCAACAACGACTAAAAGGAGGAAGATCCGGTGGATCTAGGGGGAGAAGAAGCACGATGAGGGAAGAGTGAGATAGCGGCGACCGCAAGCTCAATGGTCAACGGATGAAAGGGGAACGGCGGCGGTCGAACAGATTTTCAATTGAGAAAGAAAAATTGAACACCACTGTGCTAGAAGGAACAATTGAAGTTGTGTTATAAAACTAGAGAGAATTGAGACTATAGAGAATAGAGAAACTGTATTCTTTTCGGTGTGTTTTTCATTATAACTGAAGCCCCTATTTATAGGAAAACTTCTAATGGTACAATCGTAATAATACAATTACATCAGGGGCAAAATAGTCATTCACATACATTAAAATATTCTCACGAGGTGCATGCGCACCTTATATTACAACACTCCCCCTTAAATGAATATTTTTAGTGGAATATCCACTCGTTTATAACACTCCCCCTTGGAATTACTACTATTAACTGTGCGTTTATGCTGTCTCGTTAAAAACATTATCTGGAAAAACCCTGTGGGAAAAAAACCGAGATAAGGGAAAAAGAGTACAGCCGCACATGCTCCCCCTCGAGTTATCATCTATGCAAATCCCGAAGATGTCTCATTCCAATATTGTGCACGTGTTTTCGAAAGATTGTAGTCGGAAGCGCCTTCATAAATAAGTCTGCTGCATTATCGCTTGATCGAATGTATTGAACTTTGATTTGTTTGTTTCTTTCAAGCTCTTGAGCATATTGTAATATCCCATTCAGTAAATAATAAAAGTAATTATTTTAGTTCTAAGTTTGAACTAATTACTTTTATTAATAATGCTCGTTCCTAGTTTCGAGCCCAGTTATTAAGTTAATCAGTTAAAAGTTCGACTTTAAGTTGAAAGTATTCTCGGTTAAATTTTATTTAGTAATCGAGCCAGTTCAGTAATTAATTAATTCCGGTCTGTTTATTTTTATAAATGGATTTATAAGATGGGATTAATTATAATAAGATGACGAATAATAAAAATCGAGTATATTTTGATTACTCGTTCAAGATAAGTCGTGAACCGAACCAAGCATGTTCGGTTA